AGATAGTTTTGTCACCATGCATGTTCATTAATGTTAGCTACACTTGTTGCTCCTTTATATTATTTGCAATCATTTTCAGTAATGTCAAAATGTTTTTTAACCACTTCTGCCAAAACACTTTGCATTTTCCCATTTAAGAAATCTATTGTGGCATTAAAATAAGTAGAATCTACTTTATCATCTATATTCTTCTAAGTCCCAAAAGCATCTGGAACTGTAATATATTATTCAATTATTTTACAAAAAGACATCATAGAAATAATTTCATCCAAAACCTTTCTACTTAACATTGCCCCAAATAAATCAATATATCAAAGAAGGAATCATGGTTACACAGCATCAAGCCACCTACACACCCTGTCCCCCAGGAGTTACGGCTGGTATCTGCAGGTCACAAGCCCTCTTCTGTTCGCACACTAAATTTAATTTCCCAGCTGTTTCTATAGCTTCTAATTGATTGATACAATAAAAGATTTATTTAGAAAACTCTTCTATTCTTTCAAACTGATTTCTTCATAAAATATCTATTGTTACATAGATACATTTTTTATTTAATTTACTATGGATTTTCACCCGAATAACTGCAGGTATAAACAAATTGACTTTATGATCATTAGGCAAAGACACATGGCTCTGTTGAAATATGAGCAATGTAACATTGGTGAGTGAATGTGGTAAGTTTCAATTTACTATAATGAAGGATTATTTGGCCACACATTACAAGACCCATGGCCTTGGGTATTCACATTAACACCAGCACAGATTGCAGTTTAACTATTTGATGAATGTACTATATCAGCACACTATATCGCTTATGCATACAATTCCTTAATGGAGTAATGATGCAAGATGGGATATCTTTCTTTCAAGTGTGCCTTGATTTTTCTTTTCCAATATTCAGGGTACTTCAAAATAATTTTTTTTTTCAGCTTTTTTCACCTTAACAGATTTTCTTTAAAAAAAAAAATGGCTAAATTAGTGGAATGGTTAAAAGCGAGGACACTGTTATGGGAACTACAGTATTTTAATATTCCACTGAAAAGGCAGAGCAACTGCACAATACAAAACTCAGAAGTACTCTCAAACAACAAATTATTTTAGTTGAATTTGAGTCTTCCCCTTACCAAATGTCTCCATTGCTACCGGAAAGCTATCTGTACATGATTTTGAGAATACATTAAATCATGCCAGTGTCATCACTGCTAGCAAGAGACACAAACACCAGATTGCCTGGAAGCCCCACTTCTCACCTCTGTAGATTAACAGGATTTTTCTGAGTGCTCACATCATATGATGTAACTATGTGACCAGTAGAGAAAATGGTACCCTAGTTATAAAATAGCCTTCTAGAAGGAAATTGCCTGGTATCATATTTTATTTATATTAAAAATACCTGGCATCACAGGTATTTTAATCAACATACTATCTCAGCGTGCCAGACATGTATGTTTTAGCTAAATTTTAATTTCTAATAATTTTGTCTTCAGTTTTGCTTTATTGACATGTCTAGTTTTTTGGCCATCTGGATAACTTATTTTTTTCTTTTTGTTAATGAGTTAATTAGATATTTTAGTGGTTTCTTACTCATATAGGTTTAAAAAAAAACCAGAGGAGCCATTTCAACTAATCACTCCCACCACGCAAAAGGCCAGAATCACTTCTCAGAATGTTTCCCACAAATTTGTTTAACATTTGATATTTTCCAGTTTCTTCCCCAAAAGTAAAATATATCTAATTTCATGTCCATTACTTTGAATAACTCTATTACAGTACAGCAAGATCTAACTTAGTGAAATGGTAATATAATGTAAAAATTAATCTCTACAAGTCATTCCATGCATGTATGTTCACGTGTAGAAATTCTATTTCTATATCACTCTTCTTCCCCAAAAGCCCACTATTGCTAACCATTCTATTTCCTATGAAGTTTTACAAAATCCAATTCAGAAACATGTCATAACATTCCAGTTTAATTCTTTTAGTATAGTCTGTGTAATAATATAGCTAATGTTTGGCAGTCTATCACAAAGACATAGTTTCTGCCTTGCCAGTGATATTCAGAGAACATTCTGGAGATGGATGCTAAAACCCACTTCTTAGTTGCAAAATGCTATCATGTATCTCCTTAGCACTTTGAAAGCTAAGCATTAACTTTGCATTATTTATCATTTTTACAAATTTCTTATCAAAGCTATCTTTCTCAGTCATTAGCCTTACCTATCTACATATATATATATAAATGTGCTTCCACTCCACTGCCAATAAGACTCAACTATTGAGAATTTAAAAATGCATGGATTTTGAGAAGATATTGATCATTCTCCTAGAAAGATTAATGGTAGAGAAAAGAGTGATGATCATTCTGTCATTCACAGTTGCCAACATAATTTTGAAATAGCATGTTGGAATACTATTAAAAAATAAATCATTCACTTTAAGTGATGACAATAATCTTGTCATGTAAATCACTGTTAAGGCCAGTGTGTGTACAAAAAGATGTATTTACACATTATAAATGGTAAAGTGACTTTCTCCAATGAATATTTTACATTTAAGACTATTCTATTCTCAATGTTCAGTGTCTTTGTTGGATCACAGGACCTGCCAAGTTACAGCCACTCAGTCTTTGTTGTCCAAACAATTTTGTATTCAGTACTCCAACCTGCTTCATTGGGACTCTGTCAACTACTTTGTACACTGATCTCTTACAATGATCCTGTGTTGGCCTCAGTCTCTTCTGCTTTCTAATCTATTTAATTCATATTTCATTCATGTCCAGGAACCTTCTCTATAGATAAGCAGTGAATAGAGGAGGGGGGGTTGATGCCTTTGAGTCAGTTTTTGACTCATGGTGACCACCTGGACAAGTCCCTGAAGTTTTCTTGGCAACGTTTTTCAGAAGTGGTTTGCTGTTGCCTCCTTTCTAGGGCTGAGAGTGAGTGACTGGCCCAAGGTCACCCAGCTGGCTTCATGCTTCAGGCAGGACTAGAACTCAGTCTCCCAGTTTCTAGCCTGGTGCCTTAACCACTACACTTAACTGGCTCTCTCAGAGGTTTGGGGAACACTATAGTTAAGATTTCAGCAATTTTTATCTTCCTATTTCCTAAGTTTTCTTTGTAAAAAAGGCTTTTGTTTTCCTATCTTATTCTCAGGATACTGTAGAATTGCTTGTTGGGTAAGATGTACTGTTTGCAATGGAAGCAATCCCCCTATTTTTCAATGCATCCTTCCACAGACTAAACAAAAACGTTAATAAATGTACAGTGAAATACTTTTATGTTCATTAAATAAAAAATAAGAAATATTCTTCTTGCAAAAGTTCTATTAATGTTTAAAATATTTTAAGCATGTTTCAATAATGTAATGTATGTGTCATATGAGACTCATAGCAAGATTCAGTGGGACCTGCTCTTTGAATCAGTACCACAACAGCTTACCTTTCTACTACTGAATGACCAAAGGATCTACTTAATAGTTTTATATTATCATATATGCTGGCCTGGCAAATTGCTTTAATCAATGAGACACATTCAACTATTTTTCTAACCTAAGGTTCAATAAATGATACAGTTTACCTAAATTCTCAAATTATATCAGCAAATACCCAGTGGCTTTTGGGTGTACTATGTATCTGCTGCAAGAGCAATAGGACAGTGATGTTGATAATGAGTAACAGGTAACTTCAGATATCCTGTGATAGGATGTAGTTTTCTGAGTTTAACGGAACATCTCTAATTGTACAAATTAATACCTAGGGGCTAGGTGTTAATTACAACGTAATCTATTAATTCTGTTATCATTTGACCACAAATACTTCTGCAGTGCATCATTTTGTTTGGATGCACTCACACCTCCAGTCTCAAAGCAGTCATTTACCCCCAAATATAAAGCACTACTTTCCTCTAGCAGCAAAAACTTAAATTCTGCTGAACTCACACTGTGAACTATATGTCACTGCCAACATTGCAGAAAACATTATTCCATACATTTATAAACTCTGTGGAACTACTTATGCTAAGTGATGCCTATCCTGAACCTCGCTTTAATTCACTCCGCCCCTTCACTGAGGAACTGAATCTAGCTCCCTTTTCTTCTCCATCCATCCAAAGTTGCATTGCCACGCATGGCAGCAGATGACGTGCTCTCCCTCCAGGACTCAGCCCACCTCAGTTGAGGGAAGCCCTCCTGGACGGCCCACGGATCAAAGGAGGGATCCACTTGAAGGAAATTTGTCCCACGCTACCTCAAATCAGGAACCAGCCCTGCTATAGCTTGGGTGGGAAGATTCATGAATTCCTCCATTTAGTTATTAAGCGTGTGCCTGTATAGCCTTGGGCATGCCATTTTCTCTCCTTCGCCTTCTCCAGAGGGCCATCGTGAGGCTGACATGTTGCTCCGAAGACTTCGGAGGACAGGCACGTTAAGAAAGTAACGCATAAACAGAAACGTTCACACAGATCAACTGGCGTTGCAATACGCTTGAAGAAACGCCCCTTTGGGATTTACTCGCCGCGTAGTGATACTTCTGCTTATGTATAATTCTAATCATAGATTTGTAGGTGGGGAGGTTACTCGTTTCCCTGAAGAATCACATACGCTTCCCTCAGTTTTTGGGGACCGCAGCTTTTACCAAGAGGCGGGATCCCTAAATGTTTCGTTATCCCTTCTCCAACCGTTTCAGTAGCAGGGTCCGAAACAGGAACTGCGAGGAGCCGCCGTCGCCTCCTCCCTCAATCCCTTTAGAGTGGCGCTTTCAGTAAGCCGGGGAGGGGGGGGGCGAGAAAGGGAGAGAGAAAAAAACAAACAAACATACACACACAGAGAGAAAACGGGCGAGCTCGCGCCCGAGACGAAGCTCTCTCACGCGCATGATGCGTAGGCAGGGCTTCGAGGGAACCTCACGACGACAGCGGCCCAGTAAAGAAACGGAAACGTTTATAAGATCCTTCCCGCGCACGCGCACCCGGGGTAGGCCTCGGGGGCG